AATGGATGACAAACAGGGGCTTAAGTTTTGTTGTTAGTAAGTGAATGTTTGACTAAGCTTCACAAAAAGAAGTAAAATTAACTTTGGTTTCTTTAAGTATCTGGATAATTTACTTTTTTTAGAAAAGCTACTTCATATGAAAGTTACTATTCGTCAATATAAGTAACATATTTGTTTCCAGTTTTGAAGGAGTAAAATATACTTCTTTTAAAGCTTCCTTATCATAAGTAACTGTTTTAATCTTAGCCAAAACAAAGCATTCAGAATATTTTGGGTTATTATTGTGGCTAAAATGTATTAAACTCTGTTATTGTAGGAAACCAGGCCATCAATCCAACAAGAAGATTCCAATACACCTCAATTGGTAGACTGCCTCATTGTTGATGCAGAGGACTACAAAGTAATTGGTGACTATGATGTCCCAATGTCCGTGCAACATACAGAAGCTATGCTCGAAGAAATTGATCGAATGGTATTGTTTTCTGTTTAACTTGGCAACTTGTCACTGGTTACTCTGTTGAATGGAATCATTGATCTCATATTTTCATGCAGGATGCGGAAATTGAAATGGAAGAAATCGACGAGGAGGAGCCAGTTGTGGACATAGATAGTGCTGATAAGAAGAATCCACTTGCGGTTGTCGAATATATTGACGACATATATGCCTACTACAAAAAGACGGAGGTGAACTATTCTTTGTTTTACTTCTTGGAATTATCAATCTTTGCTCACCTATTTTCTTGCATATTATTGCGCTTTTTGATCTCCAAATGAATTGTATGGATTTCTTAATTCTTTACAAGAGATGAATTTTTTGGCTACTTGACTCATTGAACCTGACTATGCTTTATCATGCACAGTGAACGGAAATATTTGTAGTGAAACAAGACTACAATCTCATCTCATCTACATGCTTGCCAATCTTCATTTGAAAGTAATACTTATTGTCAAAATGAGGAACATTTTTTGGCTTTCGTAAGAAAAGTAATCCAAACTTGAGCATATAGGTGACTTGTTCAGTTGAATTAACTAGATTCATTTTCACAACTTTACAAGTATTCTAAATCACTTGCATTCTGAGTTATTAATAGGTGACTTGTTCAGTTGAATTAACTAGATTCCTTTTCACAACTTTACAAGTATTCTAAATCACTTGCATTCTGAGTTATTATACTAAATGCTAAAGCCATCAATTCTTCCCCATTGCGTAATTTTGATTACAGAGTTGTAGCTGTGTCCCACCAAACTATATGGAACAGCAGTCTGACATCAATGAAAGGATGAGAGGTATTCTCATCGACTGGCTGATTGAGGTATATGAAATTACACACCTTCAAAGTTTATGAAATTATACAAAGTAACTTTTATAGCTCGATTAAATTTAACATTTATGGTATATGAAATTACATCCTAGTGAACTTCAAAGTTTATTATACAAAATAACTTCTCTAACTCGATTAACTTAACATTGTATGTATAGGTGCATTACAAGTTCGAACTGATGGACGAGACGTTATATTTAACTGTTAGTCTCATCGATAGATTCTTAGCCATCCAACCAGTGATAAGAAAGAAACTACAGCTCGTTGGAGTAACAGCTATGCTCATTGCCTGCAAATACGAAGAAGTCTCTGTTCCCGTTGTGGAGGATCTTATTTTGATTTCTGATAGAGCTTACAGCAGAAAAGAAGTTCTTGATATGGTGTGTTTTTGTAGATTACATATTATATGTTATATTATGATTAATATAATAGTAGCTTTTTTTTTTCTGTTTTTTACATAGTTCTCTTGTGGTGTCTGCAGGAGAAATTGATGATCAACACCTTAAAGTTTAACCTCTCGTTTCCAACTCCTTACGCGTTCATGAGACGGTTTCTTAAAGCTTCACAATCCGACAAAAAGGTTGGTCTGTAATCTAGTGCAATGTTAGTGTACGAATTATGGCATGTTTGGTAGGGAGGCAATATTAACGATGAAACTGAAGTTTAAATCATTATACTGTCAATCCTATCAAGAACTGCCAAACATGCACTTAACAAAATATAAATTTGGTTTTACTGATTTGAAACAATTTTGTGAACTTGAACTACTAGTTGGAGCTGCTATCCTTTTTCATGATTGAACTCTGCCTAGTCGAATATGAGATGCTTAGGTTCCCGCCTTCATTGTTAGCAGCAGCTGCAATTTTTACAGCCCAATGTACTCTCAGCAAATCAAAGCAGTGGAGTAAGACAATTGAGAAGCATACAAAATACACCGTGGACCAGCTTTTGTAAGTGTGGCTTCAACTTATTTTTTCATAAAAGTTAATGAATTGTCACAGACAGCCTTAATTGCTTCTTTGATCTTTGTAGGGAATGTGCAAAACTAATGGCGGCTTACCATCAGAAGGCAGGTACTGGGAAACTTACTGGTGTGCATAAGAAGTATAGTACCTCAAAATATGGATATGCTGCTAAATCAGAGCCTGCTGATTTTCTCTTAAATCTTAAAGAGTTTTAGGACAAAGGGGATTGTTTGGGGTGAAAGTGAGCAACATAAGTTGCCCCTAGGTGGGGGGCGGTTTCTTGCCAACAAATCTGACTTTGCCGAATATTTTGTGGGACTTTTTTTGAACTGTTTCTTTAGTTCACAGTTTCATTTATATTGGATATGTCTGTATATCTAGTGAATGATTGAAGGTTTTCCAAAAGTTAAATTCTTGATTTTCCATTTCCGAAGAAAATATGGAGTATTTCAAGTTCAAAATGGGGATTACTTTTGCATTTTTTTGATGGAAACAATTGCCAATTCTTAAGTGGCCTAATCTCACTGTCTATGTTGTGTTTGTAACAACGGGAATTTAAACAAGAGGGACATGGTTCAATAATCTTGACCAAACTTTTTGTCAAGGTGACAAAGCAAAACTTGAATTATTGTGTCAATATTAAGTTTAATCACTCGGAATTGAGATATTTTTTCAGTAACTCGTAGAAAGAATTGGGTGGATTAGAAAGAATTTATAGTAGGTACCATGATAGTGGGAAACGAATTAGTCAGAAATTATTTGAATTTTAAAAAATTAAATTATTGGCAATTAAACAAATTTATTCAATTAAAGTCTTAAGAAAAGAAGGAATAAACATAGAGTTAATTTATGCTCATGGGTGCCAAAGGAAACAAAAATTCAAAAAAAATTCCGTTGCCGGGACTTGAACCCGGGTCTCTCGGGTGAGAGCCGAGTATCCTAACCAACTAGACTACAACGGATTTGCGGT